AGCCTGGAGGAACGGTCTGACTCTGTACAAGGCGGCAGCTCTTGACTAGGAGGGCCCATGGCTCAGTGGTGGAAGGTTCCACATCCCCATCCCTGCTGTGTCCCATTAAAGGGTCTCACTTTTCTCTGCATGAGATCCTGAAAAGCTGCTGCCGGAATACTGCTCCTAAGCATTTCTCCCCTGTTCTAATCAAGCTGATGATACTTTGCATTGAATGTCTCCATCCTGACTCTTTTTTGCATCACCCCTCCCACCTGCTGGGGCTTCCACATTCTCATTTCCCTCACTTGTAAGTGCCAGTTTCATCGGGATGGGGGGGTTAAGTTTCTGTTCTGCACATGTTCTGCTCCCTCTAGTGGTCGACCTAGAGTGGTCGATATTACACAGGGTTATCGGGCATATCTCCCTACAGATTTAAACTGCAGGTTTTTATGCTGGACATAAAACCAATGTAATCGCCCACTAGCGTGAGCAAAATGCTTGTGAAACAAACAAAAACCACCCCAAAACAGGAACTTAAGGTAAGTGAAAATGTGGAAAAGCCTTCTCAGTAGGACTTAAGGATTCAGGGATCCTACTTATATCTGATAAAGGGGGCTTTGACTCTTGAAAGCCTATACCCTGAAAATCTTGCTGGTTTTTAAGATGTTCCTGGACTCCAATCTAGCTTTGCCAGGATACTGACTTGGTAGAAGGCAGGTTCATCTGTTCATGCATGTTCACTGTTTTGCTAGTCATGTATCACAAAACTACCCTCCTGCCTAGGCTTGCCAAGGGACCCTGATGGTGCAGAAACTAAAATCCTGGCCAACCTTAATCCACACCTCCCCCAAGACACCTCCTTCCTGCAGGCAAAATGTAATGGACCTGAGACCGTTGTGTGTTGGAAATAAGCACTTTATGTAAACAGGCAGAAGCCGGATAGACGTAGCTTTGGGAGGAAGGAGTTTGGAAGTGCCCCGGATTGGCACTGGGGATGGGGTTGGGATGACGAGAATCCTCAGAGGCTCTGAGCCCAGTGTGGTCCTAGCGCCCAAGAATGAGAGGCGCCGCCTGGTAGGGGCCTTCGTTGGCTCACTCCGTTGAGCAGTCACTGCAGCAAAGTCTCAGGGTGGAGGGCTCTGTCCTGTTCCCAAGAGGAGGGCAGCGGAACAAGAGAATGAGATACCAAGCTTAGAACAAGCCACTCGGGAAGAGGGATGCCCCCAAAGATGCCTCCCTGGGCCTTTCCCCTCTCCCGTCTCCCTTACTAGAGGTTAGCTCCCATAATTGGCTCTGATCCTGGACCGGATCCTCACCTGACGCCAGTGAGCAGCCAAGAAGTTTGGCTTCACCTGCTTTCCACAAGGCTTGGTATTTCAGCATGGGCCAGCTGCTCACTTTCTCTGCCCCTTCAAGCCAGTTCCTTTTTTTAGCTGCTTTCACAGATAATGCACTTTCAATGTACTTTAACAACCATTTGCAAGTGAATTTTCCTATTCCACAAAGGAAAATCCAGTTCCAAACTACTGTTAACGTGCATTGAAAATGCATTATCCAATGTCTGTGACAGCAGCCTTAATCCCATGCCAGGAGAGGGAATTGTCCACCCCATCAGGTTCTTGTTGAGAAGCCAAATGCGCTATAAGGGTGTTTGGGATATTTAGCAGAAGCAAAAGTGCCACAAAATTCATATTATGCTGTCATTCTAGGGGGGGGGGGACCCAATAAAACAGCCTGCCCTTATTTAAAGAGGACTAGAACCTTGGAGGGCATTTGGAATGGAAACCCAGAAGGCAAAGACAGAAATTTAAGCTCTCATGCCTTGTGTCCCCTTTCCAGCACACTCTTATCATTCACAAACCCACACCTCTGGTTTGCTTTTTATAGCTGATGGCACACTTTTTGTCTAGGGGCTTTTCTGGACTCTTAATTTTTGTCACTTGTGTGCCCCTATTGCATCAGGAGGTTTTTCTTTTCCATACATGTTTTGCTCCCTCTAGTGATCACTTCAATATTACATTGCTGTATCTCCAGCTTATTTCCCTTATTTTTTATTTTGTAACATTTCTAGAAAGTTGAGAGTCCCCTTTTCCCCAAGTAATCAGCATGAAGCCCACCCCCTACTGTGCACTGGTCCCTACAGAAATCTGAGCAAGCAGATTTCAGTGGTGGATAATTTATTTGGATTGCATGTGTATTGGCTCTGCAGGCTTCAAGTGATGGATTCCTGAAGTCAGGCACAGCAAGGCTGTGGAGTCAGCTGCTCAGAAGCGATCCTGCAATTACTCCTCATCGCTATTAGCAGTCAGCTGGTGTCAGGAGGGCATGTAACATCAGCCAGGACAACCCAAGTACTATGGGAAACCAAGGTATGCCCACTACATCAAAGCAGAGCTGTTCTTGATGCTGTTCGATCTGAAGAGTAAGTGGCTGAGCTTCTTGGACCACCAGTCCTGAACGTAGCAGGCAGCCATCAATTGCCTCAACCAGGGTTGGTGTTTTCTTGGGCTGGAGTGGTACCTGGTGCTGTTCAGCAAATTTGATATATGTGAAACATGGGGAAGCCCTGGAGTCCACCACAGCATAGACTAGCAGCCAGCGTGCATCAGGTAACCGAAGCTTCATGGGCACTAAGAACAGGCCTGGGTTGTCACATATGGCCTCTGTGGACCCGAAAAACTGTCCCAAGCCATCTGACCCACACTGATTAGGGGCTTGTGACTTCACAGGGCACTTGCGAGCATAATGATGTGCCTCTCTGCAATATAAGCAAAGGTTGTTCAAGCGGCGCTAGTTCTTCTCCTTGGGAGTCAAGCAAGGATGTGCGGTGCCCAATTGCATTGGTGGGTGGTTAGGTAAGCCCAATTGCATCGGTGGGTGGTTAGGTAAGCAGGCACCATTTTCCCTGTTTCCTGGTGAAGGCGGGTTCTAACATGGGCTTGTTTTCAACTCTCCAGCCACCCATCAATCCGTAGGCATAACAATATCAACAATAACAATAAGCCTGTAGGTTAGTAGGGCATTCAACCTGAGCGACTTCATCCAGGATTTCATCCAATAGTCTCTCTAAATACATCTACAAGGGCTGCCTCATTTCACCCCAAATCCTGGGCCAGTAGTTTGAATTCAGTGGTATATTGAGCCATGGTGCCTTTCCCTTGTTTTAGGGTATTGGCATTTTACAGCTTTTAGAGGGTTGGCAAAGGCAGCGGTAATATGAGACATGAACTTCAGGAAATCGTCCAGCAATGAAGACTTGGAGAGCAACAGAGGTGTAGCCCACTTAGCCACCTGCCCCTTTAAGAGGTTAATGAAACAAACTTTTAGCTTAACAGTGGGAAAATCTCAAGCCCAAAGTTCCACGTAGAGTCGGCACTGCATGAGGAAAGGTGGAAATTCTTTCATGTTGCCCTCAAATTTTTCCAGGGGACTGATTGGGCATTTTTTAGGCAGAGGTGCAGCAGGTGCAGCATGGAAAGTGGCAGCCTTGTTGCCATAACATTGTCAGAGCACGGGTAAGTTGCAGTATCTGGTCCTGCAGCGCTGCAAGGCTCTCTGGTGCAGCTGCACCCCGTCCATGCTGTGGAAGTTTGTTGTGGTTGACACAAACTGTACTGGCTCTGCAGGCTTCAAGTGATGGGTCCTGAAGTCAGGCACAGCAGGGTTCTGGAGTCCAAGGGTCAGGGTTTCAGGAAGCAGGCACAGCAAAGTTGTGGAGTCCAAAGGTCAGAGTTCCAAGAATCTGGCAAGGCAGGGTCAGTGGCTCAGCAACAATCATACACATTGCATCCACATCTAACAGCCTCTCTTGACTGTTTTATAGCCACACTCCTAAGGGTCGTGCTTCCAGGCAGCTGCATAGAAGCAATCCTCCTGCTCAGCGTTGCTATTAGCAGTCAGCTGGCACTGGGCAGGAGATGCGCAATTTTCCTCCTTGCCTCCATCTATGGTACTCTAAGAGTGTAAGTGATACTGGAGGGCTGGGAACAGCCAGCTGACTTTCACCTGCTGAGTCAGGGCTAGAGGGTGTCAATGGCTCTGCACCAGCTGTTGGCTGTGAATCCTGACAAGCTTGTTGTTCATTTTATTGCTAACTGGCTTCTGTTAACTCAAAGCTGGCTACACAGGGCTCCTCCTGATGTCCTCACTATCCCTGAACCCTAGCTGACTCATGACATCATGATGGTTTCTCTGTCATTGACATGCATTGTGAATCTATTGGTATATGACCATGAAGAATCCTGCTCTTGGGACCCTAATGTTAGCAGGGTGGGGTGGTTAAGAAGAAAAAACCCCAGGAAACTCAAGCTGAAGATTTGTGGAAGACTGAGTGAAATTTACTCAGAGATGAGGGATGAGGAAACCTTAGATTATTTGCTTTTTAAGTAAGAGCCAGGGTTAGATTTGGACTAACCACTGAACAAAGTAGAAAAGCTTTCAGAGAAGTTAAAAGAAAGCAAGGCGAAACATGTGCACAGCTAGGTTGTTGTTTGGACAGAGCCTTAAACAAATGGGTTGAGGGAAGTAAAGTACAGACATTTGAAGAACTGAAGCAATTAACAGGCTTAGAACAGTTTTACAGACAAGTTTCCACACCATTTAGATGGTTTCTGAGGGATAAAAAAGTTTAAAAAACAATAGAGGAAGCTGCCACTTTATTGGATGAGATAGAAGAGGGCTTGGGAGGATCTCTTTTCCCACCCATCCCCATCAAGAATAATAAAGTTTGGGGCACCTCAGGGAAAACTGAGACATCTAATACCAGCCCTGCAAGGTGGAACACTCCCAAGTAAAATAGAAAGGGAGGGATAGTATGCTTTAACTGCCAGGAAGAGGGACACATGAAAGCCCCTTGTCCAAAGTTAGAAAAAAGAAAACAGCCCATTTCAGCTAAAACTGACAAAACAGTTAAAAGGACAGAAGCTGTCACAGAACTCCCATCAGATCCTATGCCAGAAGAAGAAACCTAAACAGAGAGACCAGGTAGAGTGTTACAGGTATGGAAAGTGCAGGAAGATTTAGACATGGACTATTTGGAGCCCGTAGACATAAACGATGAGGAAGTTATAGGCTGGAGGGATAGAGGGGCAGAAGTCACCTTAATAAAACCTTAGTAAATAAAAAAGGGAGCACTCACTGGAGAAGACCCTGATGCTGGGAAGGACTGAGAGTCAAAGAAGAAGGGGATGGCAAAGGATGAGATGGTTAGACAGTGTTATCGATGCAACGAACATGAAATTAAGCAAACTCCGGAGCACGACGCAAGACAGGAGGGCCTGGCGTGTTGTGTTCCATGGGGTCGTGAAGAGTCGGACTCGACTGTGCAACTGAGCAACAACAAAAGAAAGAACAATATTTACCAGGAAGAACATACAGTATTAAGAGAATCAGTGGCCCAGAGTTTGAAGTAAACTGGGCAGAACTCCCCATAAAATAAAAAGACTTCAAGGCAAATGGATAATGGGAGTGTGGGGTGAATTGGACTTTCCAGGTTTATTGGGGAATGACCTAGCCTCACAAGTTAAAGGAGGTAAAGTAGTAACCAGGAGTAAGCTGCAGAGTCAGGCTTCAAGGCAGCAGACTAGGCCAATAACTCCAGAGATTGCTATGGAAACCAACTGTAGCCACCTAGCAGAGGATTTACAAACAGAGCCCAGCATGATAGACACAGGCAGCTTGTTTCAGGGAATCTATGCTGCAGAATTCCCCAGTAAGCAAAGGCAAGATGAAACTTTGCAAGACTTGTGGCAGAGAGCTGAAACTTCTCAGGAAGTGACAATTGAACATCCTTGTCTATTTAATATCCTAGACCAGGGACTGTTTAGGGTGTCTATGAGGTGTAAATGTGCTGCTATCTGGGAGAAACGCAAACAGCTGGTGATTCCCAGAAAATACAGACTGTAACTTTTACTACTGGCTCATGAGTCACCTGTGTCTGGACATCTAGGGATCAACGAAACCAGAGATAGGCTGCAAGCAAGGTTCTATTGACCCATTATAGGAAAAGACATCCGGGCATCTGGAAGTCTTGCCAGGCATGTCAGCTAGTGGGCAAAGCACAAGACAAAAAAAGAGGACTCTTACAACCAATTCTGCTTGTGTCAGAAGCTTTCTCTAAAATCGGACTGGACCCATCTCCAGAACAACACAACATGGGAATAAATCTCTCTCTCTCTTTTTGGTATTTTTAAAATCTGTGCGTGTGTGCATGCATGTGTGTGTGCACACTGTGGTGACCTTTGGTGACTGACCCCTACTGGGGGCCTGGAGGATATTCAGAGAGGTGGCTGAATAAAGCCTGCCCCCCGCCTCTGATATTTCAAGGAGGTCTCCCATCCAAGTACTTGCCAGAGTGGACCCTGCTTAGCTTCCAAGTTCAGGCTTGCCTGGGCTATGCAGGTCAGGGCTGGAATACATACCTTTAAGGGACACTGAAGCAAAAGCCATAGCAGAAGCCTTACTGTGTTCACCAGGCTGGGTTTTCTGCAAGAGATGGTCACAGATTTGGGAACCACATTCATGTCCCAAGTGATGAAGGGACTGTTGCAGGCTTGTGGAAGCAAGCACCTCACCACCACTGCTTACCACCCACAACCGAATGGGCTAAATGAAAGGTTCAATGCCACCTTGAACCACATGCTGAAAACCTACACAGTAAAATAGCCTAATGACTGGGATCAGTGACTTCAACATCTGCTGTTTGGGTATCGTGAAGTGCCACAGGAGAGTTCTGGTTCTAGTCCCTTCAAGCTGCTGTTTGGATGTCAGGCAAGAGGGCCTATGGACATCCTGAAAGATGCGTAGACAGGACGAGAGAACATCGAAAGCCAAGAGGTAGTCACCTGTCTTCAGGAGCTACAGGAGAACCTGCAAAAGCTGAGAGCGGCTGTTGTAGACAACATGTAAAGAGCCTAACAGAAACAGAAAACCTGGTATGATGCCAAAGCCCAAGAGAAGAGTCTTCAAGCCAGGAGATCGTGTTGAAGTTTCAGAGAAAGCACAAGCTGGAAGTAGCTTGGGAAGGACCTTTCAGAATCGTAAACTAGGTTTCAAATGTAAACTATCTGGTAAATGTAAGGGTATCAGCCATCTGGGCACCAAAAGAGTCAGCAATTATACAAATAAAGTGTGCAGGGTTGTTTGGGAAAACACAGGAACAATAGCATCTCAATATAAAGATCGAAAGTAACTGTGAATAATTTAAGAACCTCTCATTAGCCTGATACATACACACACACATATGACAAAAGTCTGTGCTTGTACTAACTTTTACTTCAACATTTTCAACCCCTGATTTCATTTGACTTTTCTCCTTGATGTTAAATAAAACCTTTTCTTATTTTTGAATTTTAAAGCGTCTCGAGTGCCATTTTTAGTGGTTTTCAGTTAAAGGGTGACCCTAAACCTTCCCTCGGGTTCCTGGGCTGAGCGAATAGCCAATATATCACTGACACAGGGTGGGACCACAAACATTTCTTTTAAGGAGAAAGCAACATGATACCAGGGCAGCTCAGTCAGTGGAAGGAGAATGGAAACAGAGTGAAAATCTAGCCTCTGAGTGAGAGAAATGGAAGGGGGACTTCATATGAGGACTCTTAAGATAACACTGACCACCTCTCCTCCTCATGCCTCTTAGTGGGGAGTTGATAACACTGTTATGGGGAAGGGGGGATGCCATCCCAGGTTGCATTTCCAACTGCCATGCCTCTGCCACCCTCCCTCTTCCGCCAGCACTGAGAAGACTTCCCCGCCTCCCCATCCCTGACCTGTCACCATCATGGCCCACATGACATACTTGCGGTTCCACTCTGTCATCACCATGCGAGTCATCCACTGGATACACTGCGCCCGGTAGTTTTCATAATGTGTTTCCTCAGTCACATCCTTCAGGTCCTGCATGTGGGTCCTCACCAGCATGGTGCGTAGCTTGACAAAGTCGCAGTGTGTGGGGTTCTCCACTGGCCAGGGGAAGACAGAGGTTCAGCAGGGTCAGCAGGGATGGGGACGCAAGGACGCATGCTAGGGCAGAGCACCCGCATTGCCAGATGCAGGAGGTCCCAGGCTTGGTTTCTGTCAACTCATAAGAACATAAGAGAAGCCAATGTTGGATCAGGCCAATGGCCCATCCAGTCCAACACTCTGTCACACAGTGGCCAAAAATACCAGGTGCCATCAGGAGGTCCAGCAGTGGGGCCAGGACATTAGAAGCCCTCCCACTGTTGCCCCCCCCAAGCACCAAGAATACAGTGCATCACTTCTCCCAGACTGAGAGTAGGGGTGTGCAAAAAAAAAAAAATTCGGCCCAATTCGGATTAGGCCGACGGGCAGAATCAATTTCAGCTGGCATAGGCTCCTGCATGTCAATTTCGGCAGTACCAGTGGATACAGAAGTCTTTTGGCCAGCCCAATGTCAGTTTCAGCCCCATTATATCCTATGGACCATTGAAGTCAATGGCAAATATATAGGGTATATTCTGGGGGCTGGAGGAGAGGGGGTTTGAGGGAAAGGCTCCAAACTTGCAGGTTAGGTGCTGGAGCCTCCCCCCAAGATACCAACCAAGTTTCAAGAGCATTGGACCGGGGGGTCCAATTCTACAGGCCCTCAAACAGGTTGCCCCTATCCCCTCCATTGTTCTCTATGGTGGGAAAAAGTAACTTTTTTTCCTACCATAGAGAACAATGGAGGGGATAGGGGCAACCTGTTTGGGGGACCGTAGAATTGGACCCCCTGGTCCAATGTTCTTCAAACTTGGTTAGTATTTTGAGGAGAGGCTCCAGCAGCTACCCTGTGAGTTTGGAGCCTCTCCTTCAAACCCCCATCCCTCCATCCCCCAGAATATAGTCTATGTTTTCGCCATTGACTTCAATGGCCTATAGGATATAATGGGGCCGAATTGCCGCCGAAATTCGGCAGCAATTCGGCTGCAAGCAGATTCAGATCAGAGAATCTGAATCGGCCTCCAGCAGCCCGAAAGGTGTCCAAATGGGCCATTTTTGGGGGTGCATTCGGTTTGGACGAACCAAATGCACATCCTTGAGAGTTCCGATCTATACCTTGTGGCTAATAGCCACTGATGGACCTCTGCTCCATAGCTATATATCTAATAGCCAAGGCACCCCCCACGTGCAGATATCTAAATCTGCACATTGGGTGCACCTGGGGGGCAGGGAGATTTTCCTGCACATTTGGAGCAATCCCCAGATGTGCAGAAAAATCTGAAATCTATAAAAAAAACTATAGGGGGGATACTTAAATCCACCCAAAAGTAAAGGCGCGTTCCCTGCGAACTGCCTTGCTGCGGCTGGGGGGAGGGGGAGAAAGCTTGGCGGGCTGGCTAGGCCTTGCCACCACTAGGGGAGGGGGGAGGCTTGGCAGGCTGAGTTCAGGCCTTGCCGCCGTTGCCATGGGGAGCAGGGAAGGTTTGCCGGGCCCAGTGGCTCGGAGCTGCACGGACGGGCCTTGCCGTCGGGGCCAGGCAGGGGCAGGGGAGAAGGCGAGAAGGCTCACCTGCGGCAGCTTCCTCCTCTGTGTGGAGCTTCCCCCCCCCCCACAACTATCGTGGGTCACCACTTCTTGTGCTTATCTAATTCCCTCTTGAAGCTGTCCATGCTTGTAGCCGCCACCTCCTGTGGCAGTGAATTCCATGAGTTAATCACTTTGGGTGAAGAAGTACTTCCTTTTATCCGTTCTAACTTGACTGCTCAGCAATTTCATTGAGTGCCCACAAGTTCTTTTATTGTGAGAATGGGAGAAAAGTACTTCTTTCTCTACCTGCTCTATCCCAGGCCTAATCTTGTAAACCTCGATCATGTCATCCCTCAGCTGTCCTTTCTCCAAGCTAAGGCGCCCCAAGCGCTTTAACCTTTCTTCATAGGGAAAGTGTTCCAACCCTTTTATCATTCTAGTTGCCCTTTTTTGCACTTTTTCCAGTGCTGCTATATTATCCTTTTTGAGGGGTGGTGACCAGAACTGTACACAGTATTCCAAATGAGGTCATACCATTGATTTGTACAAGGGCATTATGCTACTGGCTGATTCGTTTTCAATTTCCTTCCTAATAATCTCCAGCATAGTGTTGGGCCTTTTTTATTTCAGTCGCACACGGTCTCGACATTTTCAATGTGTACTTATAGTTAGGATTTTCTGCCCCAATGTGCATCAGTCTGCACTTGGCCACACTGAACCCCATTTGCCATGTTGACACCCACTTGCCCATCCTCGACAGATCCCTTTGGAGTGCCTCACAATCCTCCTTGGTTTTCACAACTCCCCCTACTGGAGTTCTGGCAGCAAATGCTGGGAAGGATTTTTCTCTGCCTGAAACCCTGGAGGGCTGCTGGCAGTCAGAGGACTTAAGACTGAGCTTAGACAAACCCAGAAAAGCAGACACCAGCACCTTCTCATTAGGAATGACATCAACTCAGCAGACAGTCCCAGTTTCAGCCTCCAGATAGCGGACTGGAGATAATGGGGTGGGAGAAGCCCACCATAGAGCCGCTGCCAGAAAGTGGAGACTACTGAGTCAGAAGGACCAACAGGCTGTCTTTGTGCAAGTCAAATATCCTGTGTTGAGCTTACAGAAAAGCCCACAAAAGGCACAAGTGACTGCTTTCCCCTCCCTCTTCTCTCCAGATTCTACAGAAAGTCGTTTCCCCAGCTTCACATACAAGCTCTTGGGGGCACGTCTTAATCTGCTTTAATTTACAAATAAACTGAGACTACTAATCTATAGCCATCTATTGCAGATGAAAGCCCTCGTTCTGCTAGGTGCTGTCTGCACACCAGAGGGCTTTTGTATGCATGTTCTGAGCCAAGATGAGAAGCTGCGTGGGCAAACAGGTCCTGAGTGCGGGGCTCTCCTCTCCCACCAAGCAAGCAGAACTGCATTATCATAGCTCAAAAGCTAGCTGGTTTTTCAGGATGGGAGTAGATTCCATTTCAGTGGGGCGATCATTCATGAACACATGAACACAGACAAAGCTGCCTTATACTGAATCACACCATTAGTCCATCAAGGTCAGTATTGTCTACTCAGACTGGCAGCAGCTCTCCAGGGTCTCAGGCGGAGGTCTTTCATATCACCTACGGGAGATGCAGGGGATTGAATCTGGGACTTGCTGCATGCCAAGCAGATGCTCTACTACGGAACTACGGCCACTCCCCTGACATTGGGGCCACTTGCCATGCTATCTGTGAATGCTCCACTGGGTCAGAGCTAGTAAATACAGTACAATCTTTCTCAAATCCAGCATCTTTCCTCCTTTGAACATCCTGGGTTGGATCCAGAGGAAAACGAAATGGAGGTAAGGTAAATGGAGCAGATCTCTCGCCACTTTCCCATCCCCAAGCAGCCCATAGTTGCTCTCAGAATCCTCTTGGAAGGTCCTGAGAATCTTGAGAACAAAATGCAGTCCATCCTTCCCCCCCCCCCAACTCGTGGGCAAAGCCCACACTTCTACTGCAAGGCACCTGTACCAAGCCACAACCTGGGAATGGGAATGAGCTCTGTTACCTTCCACGACGCCCCACGGATAAAGCCTCCCACGAACCTGTCTGCCTTCGGCCTCCACCACTGTGTTGCTTCCAATCACAGCAAAAGGGATGCTCTCCTGGAAGAGAACAGCACTGTCAGAGGCACACCTGCTGTGTAGCAGCATCTCCTGTGGTTATTTTATAGGTCTACTCTTTACAGTTACTTATTTTCTTAAGAAAATCTACAGGCCACCAGTCCAGGAACCTGCTCAAGGCAGATCATGCTGCAAAAGCAATACCCCAATATAAACACAGTCAACAGTAAAGCCAGCCCCCCTCCACACAAAAAAACCAGAAGGAAAGAACCTGCTAGGGGTGTAAAGACAAAAACCATACCCATAAAACAGCCCAGGGGCAGATCATAAGATTGGTAACAAAGATTGACCCCTTCACTGAAAGGCCCAGGTAAACAGAAATGATACGGCCTGTGACCTGATGAAAAGGACAGTGAAGTAGGTGGCAGGTTAGCCTCAATGGGGGAGGCATTCCAAAGGCGAGGTGCCACCAATGAAAACGTCCCATCCCTCATCACAGTATCCACCACACCTTTGCTGGCAGGGGCACTAAGAGGTGGGATTGGGAAGAGGATATTAATTGGCGGGCTGAAGAGTATGGGAAGAGACGGTCCTTCAGGTACCCTGGCCCCAAACTATTTAGAGCCTTCAATTGTAAGAACTTTGCATTGTGCCTGGAAACAAACCGGTAAATCGATGCAGGTCTATTTTTACTGCCCACAGAGTCCAAAGGAACCGTATAGAACACTGGAAGAGAAATCATCTTGGGTATCACCTGTCTACTTGCGAAGGTGGGTGGTCCGTTACAGTTTCTAGAGACAACTGGCAATACTCTCCTGACATTTCTTCCCTGAGCACTGGTAGCCCACGTGGAGAAATGTGTTGTACTTTGGAGCCTTGGGCAGTACAAGACCTTCACGAGTTTTCCTCTCTTTTAGCAGAGCAGGAAGTGTGTGTGGGGGGGGGGGGGTAGTCAATTGCTCTCCAGCTTCACCCAGCCAGACTTTAGAAACGCTAATTGCTCCCTGGCTGGATACAATGAGATGGTTGCACCCTCAGCTAGAAGACAACACCTATCGGGAAAGAAGTTTTGGAGATTTAATTGCTAGGACGTATCTTCCTGTCAACTACAGGGAAGGCTTTTTTGATCCACAAAGGCAGTGAACAGAGAGAGATAAGAAAACCCTTTGGCACAGAGGAGAAGGTGTCTTTTTTGCTGATTTCATCCAGGCAGATGGAACTCTCACTTGGGCTCCTGCTGCACGATGAAGGTGGCCATTGCCATGCTGGGAACTGCAGGCAAACAAAGACTCCAAGGTAGCAGAAACCTTAGAACAGGGGTGTCAAACATGTGGCCCAGGGGCCAGATCAGGCCCCCAGAGGGCTTCTATCAGTCCTGCAGTGGAACTGGCTTTCTTCTGCTTCTTCAGTCAGTTCTGCTGCTGCTGCATCATCGCAGGTTTGCAGCTTACAGATACACACCTGAACAGCAGACTCAAGATTACAACAGCACAGACATTTTGATGCAATAATTCAGAGCAAGAGGTGTCAGTTATCAGACACTGTTAAATAAACAAAATATTGCAAGAGTGCTAATGTTGTAAGCATGTTTTTATTTTAAGTAAAAAAAACCTTTGTGTGTCCTTTATAAAGTTTACAAGGGGTGGACCCGCGATCCTCGCGGGGGTGGGGGGTGGGGAGGGAGGCAGAGCTCCGTTAATTTTTTAGCCGTCTTCAAGCTGCCCCTTTGCCCCCCTCTCCCTACGATCATCCCCACAAAGGAGGAGGCCCGAGATCTGGGTAACGCCGCAGGTTCAGCTTCTTCCTGCGCCAGGCCCTGCACTCGAGGAGAGAGCTCTTGGGGCAAGGCAGCTCCGCAGTCATCCAGCCGCTCGCTCAGCAAGTGGATTCAGCCATGCGTCCTCTCGGCTTGCCTTCTTTGGAGAACACGAGGCGGCGGTCTCGGGTCGGATTTCTCCGGAGCCCGCCGCTGCCGCCCTCCGCTGCCCGGGCTCCCTCCTGCAAAGCCGGGCTTATGTGAAACGCCCAGGACCTGCCGCGATGGGAACCTGGGCCCTGGCGGAGATGGCGCTCTGCAGCCTGGCTGCTGTGGCGATGCTGGGTAAGAGAGAGCGGCGGCTCCACGGGGAAGGGGAGGGGGTCCACGTTAGGCCAGCGCAACGGCCCACCGCAGCAGGCCTTCTCGGCGGCAAGTTGCGCTGACACTTACCAAGGGGTAGCGTTTTTAAGCCCTAACAGAGAGTGGAGTCTTACACAGAGTAACACCCTTCAAAGCCTACTCGGGTGTTACTCTAGCGCCTTCCCCCCCGGCTCGCGCCTTTTTCTTCCCCCCGCCCTCGCGTTTTTTTCTTCTTCCCCCCCCCACCCCCGGGTCCGAAGCGAGGGCTGAGCTGCTGCTCGGCCCTCGCGCTCTGGCCCTCCCCCGTTCGCCGCTCACCTTCCACGCGGCAGCGGCGTGGCCGACGTGTGCACAAACCTCTCCCTGCCCCCCAAGTGCCCCCCAAGTGCGGATTTAGATATCCACACAGAGGGGGCCAGTTCACTATTAGATATATAGATATCTCCGCTACCTGGCATTACATTTTATGACACACGGGGCCCAGCCCAACAATGTCTCATTTATGTCAGATCCGGTCCTCATAACAAATGAGTTCAACACCACTGCCTTAGAACCTCTGTAACTTCTACATTAAGGACCTTGCCTAAGAATAACATCAGCTAGGGCATGTACAGAGTGAGGGACAGTGGAATGGCATGTTTATACTTTTCTTTTGGATCCTTTGCTCAGTCTGTTACTGTCTGTTACTGTGCTTGAGAGTGTATATGTGGGCATTTTCTTTTTAATAAATTTTTTATAATTTTTAATGTTTGTCATTGTTCTCTGTACCACATAGACCTTCACTATTCAAACATGCTATTTTAAACAGCCAACCGTTGCTTCCATATTCACCATTTTGTCTGGAATTGCCCTGATTTGCTCACTCAATTTTACAGAGAATCCAGACACCACCATTGGCAACCTTTTGCCTTTCACTGTTTTCCTGGTTTTCCTTCCTGTTTATTTTAGACCAGGTTTGTGGCCATTTTTTACAGTTTAATTGCAACACCAGGGTGTCCAGGCTCCCCCCCCCACCTCACCTTAAGGACCTGATCCTGCATCTTAAAATCGTCATCTTCATCTGAATCACAGTCCAGGAACTGGTAGATCCGGATTCCGAACTGTTTGATTTCATCACGGATCTGGAGGGGGGGGGAAATGATGCCTGTAACTGACAACGCTTGATCATGGCTTAGCTCCACATTTGCTGCAGGCTGAGGGCTCAGTGGCACATGACTGCAAAGGGTCCACACTAAAAGCAGCAGCGATGTGTCTAATTTGCCTCTTGTGATGATAGCATAATGTTTTGTGTTTTCTCCCTACCACCGCTCTGCATCACTGGCTGAAGAGGGCAGGAAAATATAAAACTCCATTTAACAAGGTTAGTTCTATTAGCTACTATAAAAATGAAGGGCAGAACTGGACACACATCTGCCATTTTTAACAGCAGCAGTGTGTCTGGGAGGGCTCTTCCTGCATACCACTGCCTCCCCCACATATATTATATGAGTCTGATGAGCTTTTGGATTTCATTTTATGCTCTTTTTTTGTGCTGGTTTCATTGTATTGATGGACAGTTTATTGTAGACCCATCTGGAAAACGTTTTAACCAACAGCAAGGCTTAAGAATATCTTGAAAGAAATAAATACACTGCCTAAATTTCCTTAATGCAAATTTCCTAAATTTGCTTTCCTTAATGTTCTGGCTGATCACTTGGTCTGGCTTGCTAGGATCCTGTTTACTCCCCCCGATACACACATATAGATCTCTAAATAAACAGATGTCATTCACACGTTGTCTCCAGAACGCTTGTGTCCAAAGGGAAAATAACTTTGCCATTCCATCTGGGTATGTCAAACATTACTTTCTGTTAGCATTAACTAAACAATGCAAAACAGTACGCAAGGGTCTGAGCTCCACAGAACTATTCTACAGGATGAATAAGAAGAACTGTGTGCTGTTAAGTCACAACCAATTCATGGCAACCTTGGGACCACAGGGTTTTCAAAGCAAGAGATGAGCAGATATAGGTTACCATTGCCTTGCTACAACGAGGAAGCACAGATATTTTTAAAGGAAGCGGGTGGTGAGAAAGGTGCCACCAGGCATGATGGAAAGATGCTCAGGGTGGTCCAGAGGGGTCATTTTGCAAGTCAGACCATCCCGACACAAAAGCTTTTCATGCCATTGGGACAGAGAAGCAATCCTGAATGACTTCCTCTGCACCTGCTAAGGGGAAGTTGGGAGAAGGCACCCACATCTGTTCTCATGGCCTCCCCTCACCTTGGTTTTCATTCGCTCCACCTCACAGGGTGTCAGGGCATCAGCTTTGGCCAGGACTGGAATGACGTTCACACGCCGATGGAGAGCTTTCATGCATTCGACGTCCAGGGGCCGCAGTCTGCCAAAACAGGCAGTGAAGCACTCTGCACAAATCACAAACTGGGCCTCCCCATATACACACAGAGAGCCTAAAAGTTAGGTTGTTCGAGACAGCCTCGTTCTGTTGTTCCAGTCAAGAAACATAAAGGCCGTGGGAGGGCAGGCAAGAACTTGATGCTTGGCAATCATTTCTCATTTGCACTGGGATTGTATTTTAATAAGTTATCAAATATGTTCAGTAAGTTCATTAGGCAGGTGGTAGGGACTAACTATACATTACATAATCCCGAATCCAACACAAGGACTTTCAATCTGACAAACCTTGAATGTTCAGTGATCAGACCCTATTCCCAAGCAGGTGGGGAAGCCCAATTTGGATCAGGGCCATGACGTACAGGGAGAGGGGAACAAGCCATTTCCTATGCATGGTTTTTCTGACCTGAAGTGGCCCTGGAGAACTGCTTTTTGCCCTGCTAGGGAAACCTACTTGTACTGTACTGATGGTTACACAAGGGTTTTCCCAGAAAAGCAACAAGCAACTCTCTAGGTCTGTTTCCAGTTGGGAAAATGGTGGGCAGTGAAGGCTGACACCACCTCTCTCAACTCAAACTGATCCCAATCTGAACTAGGCCTCTACGTGCCTAGAATTTGAGCCTGAATCACAGAACACATTCAGCACGTCTAGCTGAAAATCCTTGTGGCGAATCCGGAGAGGACACTAAGACAGCACAAGTTTATTTAGGCACTTCAAGACAAGCTACACAGATGCTGGGGGTTCCCAGTGTGTAATCTAGCTGCAAAAAGTAGCCCCAGAGTAGGGTAGGCATGTGGACTGGTGTTGTGGTTCTAAAGAGGGGGAAGTCCTTACCTTAACTCTAAATCCAATTGAAAACGTCATGTTTCAATTGTCCAGTACCACCTTAAAGACTAACAAAACTTGTGGTAGGGTATGAGCTTTCATGAGTCAATGCTCACTCCTTCAGATACAGCTTACTCTTTTCTACTACGATGGACAAACTGACATGGCTACCCATCTTCATGTTTCAGTTGGGGAAACTGCATAGGGGGGTGTTAAATCCTTGATTCCCAATGCCACAGGTCCAAATTGTATCAGTCACCCCCCCATGGACACACACTACTGCTTTTTAAATATCGGGGGCTTCAACAGCAGATCCCCAATGTTACATATTGCTGGACATGTAAATTCAAGTTGTTTATTCTGTTTTGCATTAGCTCATGATAACCTCCCCCAGTTATCTCCCAAGCGCATGAGTTCTGCCTCCGGGCCTGACCTGGCAAAACCATACCACAGGCTGAAACCAGAGGAACAGCCATGCTTTCTTCTTAGGGACCCTGGAACTTGTGAGGAAATGGAGGGAGGGATCTCTAACAGAGACTCATTCCCCAAACTACAAACCTCAGGATTCTTTGGGCAAAGCCAAGGCAGTTACAGTGGCATACGTGGGATACAGTACTGTACTCCGGACAGAGACCCTATCAGGCAGCAACTCACTAGGATGCCTTACTGCAGCGAGGCTTGCTTGCCCGTTCATGCAGCCCATCGCTTTTGGAACCAGCACTGTGATGCCCTGCTCCAAAAGTAAAGGCTGGCTTGGCTGGACCTCAGTTCCCTCCGCTCCCCGTACCCGTGTCCAAAGGGCGAAATGAAGTAGAGGCAGCAGTGGACACGGTTGTCCTGGATGTTCTTCCGGTTCAGGCCACATTCATCCCGGAAGTACTGCTTGAACTGCTGATCTATGTAATTGGCCACAGGTTTCCAGCTGGAGAGGAAACAGGACAGAAGAGGAGGAGGCTGTAAATGCTTTTTTTTTCCTTTGGAGGTTTGAAGTGAGGAAAACCTTCACTCTGAGTTTCAAAAGTTTTTTCCCCCTCTCTGGACAGAGAACAGGCAGGGAGGGGAGGAAGTCAGTTCAATAGCTTTCCAGACACACCTCAGCCCACCTTCATACAAATGCTAATAGATCTAGCATAATGGGTGGGTCAAGCTCTCCCCCTTCATCAAGGAGGGAGCACAGATTTGAAGGCATTAAATACTAGAGACACTTCAGGAAGGGTATTTCTAGAATCTTCAGGAAAAACTCCTCTGACCAGCCTGACTTGGTCAGTGGGTAGAGAAATAGATATAATTAAAAAAAAATCCTTGTAGCAAGGAGGAGGTCTCTTTGGTGCTGAGTCCATCAGAGCAGACGAAACTCTTAACTGAGGTCTGGAGTAGGCAGCCATTTAACAATGTGCTGGCCTGGAAGAGCTGGAGAAAGCTTCGAGGTAATGCTTACTCTATAGAGATATGTAACTTCCTAAGCTAAGGAACCTGTCCTATATTTTAACATCTGATAGGGCATGTATAGAAAGAGGGACAGGGGAACTGGGTTTTACCCATTTCTTTTGAACCCCTTGCTCAATCTGGCGCTGTGCTAAAAGTATGCTTGTGAACATTTTCTTTTTAATAAATACTTTATAACTTTTGATGCTGGTAGTGGTTCTCTGTACCACATAGACTTCCACTGCCTTCAACACGCTATTTTAAAAGGAGCGCCAGGGGGAAGGTAGTCAGTTGGCAAGTGGCAATTCCTCCAGGGGCACACAAGGCAGTAAATGGTGCCCGTGGTGACCAGGCGCTGGGCAGTGGGAGACACAGAGGCAAGGCCTCAGAACTTGGAAGGGAAGCTGGGAGTCCTGACCCTCCCAGCGGGCAATTCCTTACAAAGGTCAGGTAGTGCCGGTGGGTTAGCAGAGAGAGAGAAAAGCCTCTCCAGGTGTTCGGAGAACCTTGGAGGACAGGGTAGAACAGGGCGCAGGGTGGAGCAAGCCTGTTCCACTACAGAGGCTTTGCTGAAGTTCCACAAAACAAGGTGCTGGGGTGCCAACTCAGGGCCGGTGGCGGGGGGGGGCAGGGTGGGGCACCTGCCAAGGCCTACCTCCCCCCACCCCCGCGACTAGAGGCCCTTGATCTCCCATTTCACAAATGACAGCTACATCTGGAGATGGTGAAAGAAGCAGAATGCAAGAGAATTGGACCCTGCAGCATTCCCCAGGTCCTTCTCCTCCAACTAGCCCGAAGGCCCTTCCTTCCGACCACACAGTGACTTTTTCTTGTTCCTTTCTGGCCAACCAGCAGTGATGGGGCTCAAAAGAGTGCAAGAGAAACACAGTTTCCCTCCCACAGTGTAGCCACACTTGGATGGAGAAGGGAGCTGTGAGGGGTGTGGGAAGGTGACCATAACCAGGGCAGTGAGATTAGAGCCAAAACTGGGCTGAGGAATATACCCCTCCCCCCTTCCTCCAGCATCACCAGAAACTGGGGGACACAAGAAGCTCTGCTGGGGCCAGTCTCATGTCTCCTCTCACGAGGATTTACCTGCCTGGCAGCCAGCTGGCTTTTGTCTCTAGCAGATTATTTTTATCCCAATTCTGGCTTCTATCCAGAAGTCAAACGGGCTCTCCAGGCAAGGCCTAATGGGATTCCCTGCCCAGGGCTCTGCCTGCTGCCAGGGCTAATTCCCCTCCTCTCTCCAAAGGGGAGACATACCACTCTGTGTTGTTGACGGCGTCCCCAAAGCCCGGCGTGTCCACGATGGTAAGGCGGAGCTTCATGCCTTTCTCCTCAACGTCCACCACATGCTTTGTGATTTCTACCGTCTGCAGGATCCGTTCTAGCCACAGGGAGAAAAGGATGGAAATGGGGCTTGCAGGGAAGCAGCATGCTAAGAGGCAGGTGCAACGGCTACACAAACAGCCCAACACATCACAAAAGGCCAGGCAGTGTCTTACTCCAGCATCCTGTTTCTGACAATGGACAGCCAGATGCTTCTAGTAGCCTTCCCCTCTTTTTGATCCCAGTGTCGGAGAACAAAAGGTATACTGCCACTGAATATGGAGGCTCACAGCCAAATCGTCTCAAGCACCAATGTGGCAAACACAAGAGCCTTCTCATAAAGGACAGAGGAATCTCTTGGTTCCTCCCAGCAGCCCATATTGCTTCTGTACGTGGAGGCTCCATTTAGCTATCATAGCTAATGGCCGTTAAAAAGGATATTTAATCTCTTTTTAATGATATTACAGCTCTATCAGAATAATACAAGGCTACTTAGACCAGTATCCTGTTTCCAACAGAGGTCAGCCTAATACCTCCAGGAAGCTTGAAAGTAAGGCATGAAGTCAACAGCTCTCCCTTGATGTTTGCCCTCTAGCATCTAGCATCCAGTATAACTGCTCCTATACATGGAGGCTCCATTTAACTATCATGGCTAACAGCTGTTGTAAGACTCATCCTCTGTGCTTTTGTCTAATCCTTTTTTTAAATCTAATTTTATCTAATATCTCTCTCTCTCTCCACAGACCATTTATAATTGTGTGTCACAACCAATCTATAACCATCAAGGAACAAATTTTAAAAATGCACTTTTGGAAGGGGGGATAAAAGGGAACTGGAGGAAGTGCCGCTCTGGCACAGGTCTTCTGCATCAAACTCCCTCCCTTTTGGAAGTGTGGGAGTACCCCTCCTCCTTCAGCTTTCTCCTGTAAAAGGACAGAAGGAAAGGACTGTTCAGAGAAGCCACCTTACCTTCCGCATTTAGGAGTTCGCAGTCCTTGTACGGGTCAGTGAGAAAAAGACTGTTTACAAGTGTGGACTTCCCCAGCCCGGCCTCTCCTGGGAGAAAAGCAGCAGCAAACACAGTTCAGCAGAAAGAACAAAAGACCGAAGACTTTCAAACAGTACTTTTATCCTGGAACTAAATGTTACAGCTGGCACTGTGTACTACAAGGAATGAGAGTTAAAACTAGCTGTAGAGTTTCTACTTCTCTGCCACCATCTGAGAGCAAAAACCCACAGAACGCTGAGGAACATAAAACTCTCAAGTCAAAAGCTCCATCCATCCATTCGTTTTTATTGCTCATAGACCCATAAGTCATAAGCAAATAGGATATAATACAAAATACAACATATATACATACAGCACATTACAATTACAGTTACAATTTCACAAAATTAAGCAATTTGGTTACCAAATATATATTAACTGCCTAAAAGAGTCAATTCATTTAATACTACCCAGGGTTACAGATAAAAACTTTGCCACTGCCAACGTCACATTTGGATCAGTATCAGCTAAGAGTATCAGCTACAAGTTCCTGATTAGTAGCAGGGCTCCTTTTTTGATTATACACTGAGATAAGTCAAAAGCTCCATGATGCCAAATCACTGCTAGGCAGTAAAATGGGATCCAGTGCCCCTGTATATATCTATGATGCGGCCTCACTTGAAACAGTTCTGGTCACCACACCTTAAAAAAGATATTATAGCATTGGAGAAGGTGCAGAAAAGGGCAACTAAAATAATTAAGGGGATGGAGCACCTTCCCTATAAAGAAAGGTTAAAGACGTTAGGCCTCTTTAGCATGGAGAAACGACAACTGAGGCGTGACATGATAGTTTACAAAATTATGCATGGGATATAGAAGACAGAGAAAGAAGTACTTCTCGCCCTTTCTCACAATATAAGAACTCAATGAAATTAATGAGCAGTGGGTTTAGAACAGATAAAAGAAAGTACTTCTGCACCCAAAGAGCCAAAGGAAGTGGCAGCTACCAGCATAGGCAGCTTCAAGAGGGGATTGGATAAACATATGGAATAGAGGTCCATCAGTGGCTATTAGTCACAAGGTATAGATGGAACACTGTGTCTGGGGAAGTGATGCTCTTGGTATTCTTGGGGGGCAACAGTGGGAGGACTTCTGGAATTCTGGCCCTGCTGGTGGACCTCCTGATGGCACCTGGGTTTTGGCCACTGTGTGACACAGTGCTGGACTGGATGGGCCACTGGCCTGATCCAACATAGCTTCTCTTATGTTCACATATCATTGGGCATAGAAAGAAGAAAGTAAGGAAGACCAGATTAAGAACTTGGCTTTTGGAGAAACAGACACGCTGGAAGCCAGGGCTGGTGCCAAAGTGGCAGGTCGTGGCCTGGGGAGGGTCCATCGTTTTCGATGCAGGTAGAACACGGGCTGTGTCGATGCGCAGCTGAATCCCAGGATCTTCACAGCACAGCAAAGAGTTTTGTGGCCATAAAGAAAGACTGCTTGACCGTGGCACTGATTGCCATGTGTTGGCACCTGCTAGGTCACGTTGATGGAGCCTTTATCCTCGTGGACACTACTGATTTGATTTATTTAAATATTTTTATACCCCAGCTCTCCAGATTCAGTCAAGGCAGCTTTCAGTAAAACACAGAAAATCACAATCAAATCAAATACCTTTAATGGCATATCAATAAAATACATGGTGTGATAAAATATGAGCAAGGAGGCGTTACAGAGACAGCAAAATAAGGCAGATCATACAGAAAGCTTGTATCTATCATTAACCCCTTCAGCCAAAAATCTAGCAACCAGAGCTGTGATGTCCGGGTTTGTGTCATTTAATAGACATTGGATTATACTGTCATTGTTAACACAATGTTTAGGGTATAGTGGAGAGGAAAGGAGTTTCTTAAGTGAGCCTGCATGCAATTGACATTCCAAGATAATGTGATGGATTGAATCTATCGACTTTAGAAAACAGCTACATTGCCTTTCATGGAAAGGGACTTTGTTATACCGAACAGTTAATATTTTTGAAGGGAAAATATTTAGTCGGGCCAATGTAAAAGCTCTACGATGAGAAGGGTGATCAAGGTTGTGAAAGTAAAGTAGCTGGCCATTTTCCTTTGCTGGATGGAGAGGTTTAGTTTGGCCTGGGAAGAAAAATGAGGCTGCAGAGGAGAAAATCACAATAGAACAGGCAGGCTGATCAACCTGGACACTGAAAAACATAAAGGGTCCTCCATTATAAATATCATTGCAAATTAACATCTGATAACAGCTTTCTCCTGCTCTTTGTTGCCCCCACAGCAGAGGGTTTTAAGAGATATATTGCCCCTGAACATGGAGGTTCCATTTGCTTATGACTAGCTGCTGTCGAAGAAGTATAATGAAGAAAGTGCAGCCTGCAACATTCAAGGGCATCAAAGGAAAGGAACATCCCACCCATACGCACGCACACGCATGCCCCATGCTCCCCTATACCTGCAACCATGAGTGTGAAATCAAAGCCTTTCTTCACAGACTTCCGGTGGACTTGATTGGGGAGCGTCGCAAACCCCACGTACTCCTTGTCATCCTGAAGACAGCAGAAAGAGGGAGACCAGGAGGAAGGGAAAGGAGAAATGCTCCTGTTATAGAAATCATGACATTCAGAGAGAAGCTGTATGACCCTGGCTTTTTCATGGGGGAAAGGTGTGTCAGTGGGTCTTGGGCAGGAGAACCATCAAATGGGCTAGGCCAGGGGTCCCCAACGTGGTGTTACTACTCCTGGTGCCTGCCTAGTGTTTTTAGAAAATGAGCTGGGCCAGGTGGAGCATGTGCCCAACAAGGCTTTTCATTGGCTACCGGACAATTTCAAAAGCCCTGGTTTGGCAGCAGCTGTTACCCCAGTTCAGAATTTCCACAGCGGGACTGAAGATAAACTGCAGCAGCCATTGCATGGCTGGCTCCACCTCCTGTGGCAGCCATTTTGGGGCTGTGCCCACCATACTGTGTCCAGAATTCCAAAGGTGACCCAGGTTCAAAAAGGACCCCTGGGCTAGGCCGTTTGATGGTTGCCATGTACAGTTCTGTATACAGAACGCTTCTGGGGGGGATCTGGAATAGATTAGCTGGGGAGGTTCATCTGTGACTCACACCACCCAACAAGTTAGTTCTGTAGAGAGAACAGAGTCTTGGGATTCTCACGTAGATCTTGTTGATTATACAGCTCCTTTCTGCAATTAACTTGCATTTCGTATTCCGTAGCATGGCTCTTTACTGTCATATTTAAAACTATTATACAAAGTACGCTGTCTATTAATATATTCCAACCTGTTTGCTTCTGTCTTTTTTATTAACTGTAGTCTTCTCTTAATTGCTTTTGTTTTTTGTTAAAACTCTGTGAAAACATTTGTTTCTGTAACTTGTATGCTGCCACAAAAAGTGGACTTTAAAGCACTGTAGTACATAAGTGCCATCAAGTCGCAGCTAATTTACAGCAACCCCAGCAAGGGCCTTTCAAGGCAAGTGAGAAGCAGAAGTGCTTTGCCCTGGCCTTCCTCTGCAGAGCCTTCCATCGTGGTCTTCCATCCAAGCACCAACCCTGCTGAGCTTACAAGATCTGACAAGATCAGGAGGAGCTATACCATGCTGACTTCACTCCTCAAATACTTTACAAAGCATAGAATGGATACTGTTAAGATCACCTTATGAAAACGGGAAAGCAGAGAATCCTACCCTAGTTAAGAATAACATCAGCCAAATCTCTCTCACTCACAATGGCAGTCTAAACAAATACACTGCAGAACTTGAACGCAAAGCCGAGCAGAAGAGGATGCCCACCTTTTCTGAAAGTACCTCCTTGCAAATCATACTGAGTTGAGTCTAGGATGAGACCATTCTTACCTCCAGAGCTAATGGTTCCCAAGCACTGGGGAACCCACCATAAAGGCTCTGGAGCAGTCTACCCTATGGGAAGGGACGGAAAGGAGAGACTGTCTCAGACCATTCTTACCTCCAGAGCTACCTAGTTCCCAAGCATTGGGGCACCCACCGTAAAAGCCCTGGAGCATTTTTTGCTATGGGAAGAGATGGAAAAGAGAGACTGCCTCAGTCAGAGGAGCTGGCATGTAGGGAGGGATGGTCCTTCACTTTTGTTGGTCCTAGGCCATGAAGGGCTTTCAAAGACAGCTAGCGTACTGTAGACGGAGTGTCAGACTAAGATCCGGGAGACGCAAGTTTGGATCCTCATTCTACCATGGAAACTTGCTGGGTGATCTGGGGCCAGTCACTCTCTTTCACCCTAACCTACCCCACTGGGTTGTTGTGAGGATAAAATGGAGGACAGGAGAACTACGGAAGCCACTTTGGATTCCCACTGGAACGAACAGCAGGGTATAAATGAAATAACTACATGCTTACATCATCATCTTAGATTGGCTGTCGATACATTTCTAGGCTCTGTTTTAAAACTCTGTAATACAACTGATATAACCGAGGAAATGTGTCTTAGTTCAAAGTTCTGAACCAACTTGAGTTTCTAGGCTTTCAGGGCAGCTCTACGTAGTGCCGTTGAAGTAATCTAGCCCTTAGGTTACAGAGTCGTGGAAGGGAGCCAACCTGCATACCAGGAAGCATTGGTAGAAAGCATTTCTAGCAATAACACCCAGCCTGCCAATCCATCAGCAGAGTTCCCCAAAGCTTTTCGCATATTCCAACAACGACAGCATTACTTCCTCCAAAGTTAGCGACTCATCTGCCTCCCAGGCAGTACACTTTCCAACCATGGCAAAAATGGAGTGGGAGGGAAATCAGAAGTTCTCCCCCCCCCCACAGCACTCCGTCGAAGTGCTGTGTGAACAAGCACTTTTTAATGCTAAGTCCCCCATGTATGTCTTACTGCAAGTCACCTGTGACTTTTTTTTTTTTTACATTCCACTTTAAATCCCGCTCGAACCCCCTATCCAGGGGTCTCTGAGCGGCTTACAAGTCGGTGCTAGTCACCATTTCAATTTTTCCTAGCTAGGGCCACAGGTTCTATGCGGGGTGGGGCAACCTACCAGGCACCCCTGTGGTGGTGGTTGGTGTTGTTTTTCCTTCAGGTTCTTTTTCGTCGGCGGTCTTCTGGCGGTGGTCTCTGGCGGGGTGCTCTTCCTGGCACTCGGTGGAACTGCCTCTCTTGCAGCGTGCGGCTCCGCCTTCTTCCGGCCTCAGCAACGTCCCTTCCAGCTCCGCTGGGCCAGCGCTCGGCATTGCGGCAGCCACTTCCGATGTCCTCTCCTCTTCGGCCGCCAGGGATCGCTCCTCCGGCCGCGCCCGCTCACCATCGCTGCCGCATCGCCATGCCACACCATCTGCACCGGAACCGATGCCGCGCCGCCGCCGTCTCCGCCGTCTCCGCCGTCTCCGCCGTTGCAACCACCACGCCAGGCAGGGTGCCCCCCACCCTACAAGGGTGGGTACCCATTTATCTACTTGCAATTATGTTGCTTTCGAACCGCTGGGTAGGCGGGAGCTGGGACAAGGGTCGAGAGCTCACCCCGACCGCGGTGGTACTCGAACAGCCATAGTGGCTGCTCGAGATGTTGTTACCTTAAGCAGGCATTAGCTGCCTGCGCCACCACTCCCTTGACGTGTGTCCGGCATATTATGTAGTTACGTTCTCATGCTTTGTCCATCCCAAAGATGGGCCAGAAGTCAGACTGAAACGGGTCAAAGACAGAGACGTCATCCAGAAAACGTGGGACTCTTCTGCTACCAACTGCTCAAAGCTGTCCTGCTAAAATGATAATATCTGATATCGAACAAGCCATATCAGTCCACACAAAATCCAAAAACAAGAACGAAATTGGTCAAATGCCTTCATTATTAGGACCAGCCAAACTGACGCAAAACATTGTGTATGTTTTCAGGCTCACCTGAACTCTTCATCTGTCTGGATGTTACAAAATTTAAAACGGCAGAAGGGTGGATAGCAGAATTGTCAGGCCATGATGGTAAGGTCTGATCTTGTGGGCATCCTCTGTGAGATATGGAAGTCTTTCTTATCCCAACTCTAATAACACCCTTCTTAGGCCCTGTTCGCATGAGGGGTTTTGGGCCGGGATTGGGACGGATCGGGGGCGGAGCAAACGGGCACGATCCCACAGCAACATCTGGGAATCGTTGCCTGTCCGTCCCCGATCCGTCCCTCCTGCCCAAAACCCCGCACTAAAAAAGAACCACCTAACTAGGTGGTTCTTCGGAGAAGAGCGCCTCAAGCCTGGCCGTGGGATCGCCAGCGCATCCCCAGCTCCTGGCCGAACTGCGCATGTGTGAGCATGCGCAGTTCGCCAGCCTCCCCTTCCCACCGTTGCTTTCTCCCCAGCATCTGATCGTGCCAGGGAGCGACGCGACGCGGCTCAGGGGATCCGTGGGATCCCACCCGGCGTCTCAACTTTGGTGCGGCTCAGAATGAGCCGCACTTCTGCCGTCGCTTTCCCTGCCAGTGGCAGGGACCTCTATAGACCAACGGTCTGAAGAAATGTAGGAGCACACAAAAGCGTATACCTTGAATAAAACTGTTGGTCTTAAAGGTGCCGCTGGACTCCAACTTTGTTCTGCTGCTTCCGGTCAACACAGCTCACCCACCTGAATCTAACAGCCTTCTTTAAAAGCCCAGGGAAAATTTGTTATGTTAGGGACTCATTTACTATTTTGCGGGGGGGGGGGGGGGGGGGTATACTCCCAGTGACGATTTTACAAGACAGGCGGGGCAAGTGGTGGCCTTCACAACTCCAAGTACTCTGCCAGCATCTGCCAGAAGGATCCATCCAAGTCTGCCTATAATAACCTGATTAGCCAGTGCTCCCAACATTGCTTCTGAAATGTGCAGCCAAACTGGTGTCTACTTCAAACTGCATCTGCTTTTATCTGCAAAGAGTCTTCCAAAAACATCACGGTTTCCAAATGAATCCCTATCCACATCTGACTCCATGCTGGGAATCTATCGACATGCTATCCTAAACAACTTTGCTGGATGAGATTCAGCAGACACAACGGTAGCAAAGAAACGATCAACACCACCTCGCACGTTTTCAAATGACTTCTGTGTCAGCTGATTCAGCATGAGTCTGCGGCCAGCAAGGCTTCCAACCCTCTTTATTTCCCTCCGCTCCTAAATAAAGCAAGGTTCCATTTGAGAAACAAATGGAAACGTTTTGAGGATTGTTGCCAACTACAAACCCACATTCCAGAAGCGGTCACCGACAGTGTTCCCTCTAAGCTGAGTTAGTGTGAGCTAGCTCACAGTCCTTTAGCCTCCGGCTCACACATTTTCATCTCAGTTCAGGAAGGAGGGCTCCAGACCAAACTCATTTATGCAGCAGCCAAATCACTCGCTCACAACTTTAATGCCAGGAGTTCACAAAGTAGAATTTCTGCTCACAGGACTCCGCAGCTTAGAGGGAGCATTGGTCACCGATAGGGAGTCCAGTACAGGGGGTAGAAACGAGAGCCACTGGGGGAAAGCCTTACCGAGTCATAGGGGTCAAGCCTGCCCCAGGGGCTTCTGGGTCGGGAAGGGCTCGCCGGGGTCAGGGCAGCCATCTGCTGCTGTTGCAAGTCGAGGGGCTGCAGGCGATGGAAGGCCCTCTGCTCTTTTTCAACCAAGGTGTCATCAGGGATGGTTCTGACCACGCTGGAAAACATCTTGGGCTCCGTGTGGCCCAGACCTTCGGCCTTCTGGATCCCTTCCGATGGCACAATGCGGAAGTATTCCTTGGAAGGGTAATCCTTGAGGAAGGGAGCCAGCTCATACTTCAGAAAACACTTTATCTGAGAAGGAAAAAAGTAATGACCAACAGCAAGGTGAAGAGAAGGAGGAGAGAAAAGAAACAGGAAGTAAATAAAACCGGTGCCAGTATATGCGTGTGGGGTAAATTGTAACCATCCTCTTCTGGACGCTGGACACTGTGAAACTAGGCTTCCTGCCAACAGCCTACCGATTTCAGTTCAGTCCAAGTTCTGATGTCCTTTTACGGTTGCCAACAGGCCTGGAGAGATTCCTGTCCCTTCAATGAAGGTTTAACATATAAAAACAGGCAACTGAAGCTTTTCATGGCATGGAGGCAAATAATACCCATAAAGGGATAGGAGTTTTTTTTCCAGGGCAACCCTACTTTCTACATGTTTTGAAGACCTCAGAGTTGATCTGTATCACCAGTGTGCATGCACACGAAAGCTTATACCTTGAATAAAACTTTGTTGGTCTTAAAGGTGCCACTGAACTCAAACTTTGAATAGCAGAATGCAATGTAATTTGGAATGGTAGATTGGAATGTATTTCTCTGGTCTGGGGACAGGGGAGATAACTCTACACACGCAATCGCCCCACTTCAAAGAAGATGATGCTGTAAGGCCGCCTCCATGCTTGAGAGGAGATGGATGGAGCATAATGGCAGGGTCTCAGTTAATTACTCTCAGCATCCCACTATTAAAAAGGTAAAGGTTCCCTTGCTCGAAAGCCAGTCGAACCCGACTCTAGGGTTGCGGTGCTCATCTCCGTTTCAAAGCCGAAGACGTTTCCGTGGTCATGTGGCCGGCATGACTAAACACCAAGGCTCACGGAACGCTGTCACCTTCCCACTGAAGTGGTCCCTATTTATCTACTTGCAATTTCTTGCTTTCGAACTGCTAGGTTGGCAGGAGCTGGAACTAGAGATGGGAGCTCACTCCATCATGCGGCACACTCGGGTCTCGAACTGCTGAACTACCGACCTTCCACAGCCTGCAGTTCAGCGTCTTAACCACTTGAGCCACCACTATTAAGGATACATTAATCTCCAATTTAGACATATTTATTTCCTTCACTATGTTTCCCCCTAGAATTAAACCCAAACAAATGGTAACCATATAAACTAAGCTTCTTATTCCTGTTTGGTCCTTGCATCTGTTAAACCCTTTTATGATGCTGGAGCTCATTTACCGCACACCCTCTACCTCTACGCATAAACTGGCAATTTCCATTTTGTTGTATCTGAAGAAGTGTGCATGTACATGAAAGCTTATACCTTGAACAAAACTTTGTTGGCCTTAAAGGTGCCCGTGTTCTGCTGCTTCAGACCAACACGGCTGCCCACCTGAATCTATCCTCCATCTAACAAAAAGTCTCAACTCAGGTTTTGCAGCAGGACGTTATTTCCATTTCTAGATTGTCAGTTCTGCTGCTGTTTGGAGGACGCTCCCAGTGCAATCCTGTGCAGAGTTTTTCTCCAGTCTTAGCCGATTGACATGAATGGGTTTAGGCCGAAGTAATTCCGCACAGGGTTGCATTCTCTGTGCTCCGTCTGGTACAAACTTACTCAGATGTCAGCCACACAGGGTTCAAAGAGAGTTGGTGGTGGTGGAAAGTGCTGTCAAGTCACAGCTGACAGTAACCCTACAGAGTTGTCAAGGCAGGAGACATTCAGAGGTAGTTCGCCATTGCCTGCCTCCGCACAGCGGCCCTGGGCTTCCTTGGTGGCCTGGTCTCCCATCCATGTGCTAAGGAGGGCCAACCCTGCTCAGTTTCCAAGATCTAACGAGATCAGGCTTGCCTTGACCATCCAGGGTAGGACTCACAGAGACTTCGGCTCAGTTAAAAGGTGCATCAGACTGCAGCTTCAGCACACAGCCCATCTCTGGATTGTTACTGATGCTAATGAGGCTGTGGTTTTATGTTCCCGACCAGCAGAACATGGCTTCATCTGATAGTTCCCAGAGATGTAAGCACTCAGTCATGAATGAAATACCAGGCCAGGGTCACCCCAGATCCTTCTCAAGCACCTGGCACAGAATCCAATTCGATTTAAAGTAATTTTGAGCATGTCTGACATATTTAGATTGTTTTGCTGCTTCCAGCTGACTTACAGCAGCACACACACCCCACACACACAGAGAGAGAAATAACAGTTTCTGGCTTAGAAGCCCCTCTGGCTCCCTTTACGCAGGGGGAGGAGACCGGACTGCATTGGCACGACCATGACAAGAAAGGCACTCTGCACATGCTCCGGGTCTCTTGCCATTGCAATGACGATTTTTGCCCTCTGCCAGCGCCAGCGTTGCAAAACCGGTTCAGGGTCGAAGCCGGTTTCTCAGGGCGAGAGGGCGATGCGTTGCACCGTCTCCCTCTTACCTGGCCGCCTCGGGGGCTGGAGTACCAGGTGGTGCAGGCGGGAGGCTCGGCGACGGCATCGTAGCCGCGTCGAGGCAGCGGCGCCACAGACCCCCGTCGCCCTCCCAAGTACTCCGCCCGTCCTTCGAAGGGCGCGCGTCTCCCTCCCGCGGAGCGCACCAGGCCGATCCCGGCGGCTCCGGAGTCACTCCGGTTCCTGCCCATCCCCTTACCCTCGCCCAGCGTTTGGCGGAGCTCCTGGCCGCGGCTTCCTCCGCCGCGTCGCCGGCGAGGTTCCTCCGGCGCCGCCGGAATAGGACAGCCGACCGAGGCTGCGGACAGACAGGCGGGTAGGGCGCTCATGTGATCGGCGGAAGGCAGGGCGGGCGGAAGGCAGGGCGGGCGGGGGAGCAGCCGGCCCCGCAGCCCGGGACGGAGAGCAGCGTCGGTAGCGCGCCTGGCCCAGTGGAGCATGTGCAAAGTGCGGAGCGTCTCCCGCTTGGGACAACTACGCCCGGTGGGCCCCCCCCGGGCATGTGCAGAGTGCAGAAGTGCAGACTTCTGAGTGGGCCCGTGGCTTTACATTTCTGTAACTGAAAGTGTTCTTGGGCATGTGCAAAGCGCATACTGCATCCTCTGAGCCAAGCTGAGGTTCAGAAATAAGCAGTTAGTGCCTCGGGGCAATCACAGAATATATGGAACAGAGAGCACCTCTGGCCACGTTCGAAGTCAAGAATATAAACCAGGAACCAACTTCAGAAATCGTCAGCAAAAAGTACCTTTGCTTCTGCTGAGATGGCCCCAACTGTAAGGAAGGAGGAAGAGCCTTTGGCCTCTGCACAGTCCCCCAGATTCAGAAATCTCCACAACTGGGTGCCTCTAGGCATGTACAGAGTGTGGTGCTTCCTTTAAACCAGTTCCTGGTTTCAGAAGTATGATGAATAGTGTGGAAGGAGGCAAATGCTGTCCTAGGTATATGCAAAAGACTGCCCTTAAATCTGAACTCAGGGCTAGATACACACAACCATTCGTTTTTAGCAGTGCATCAGGTTGGTGGGTGCAGTGCTGCTATTGTTTACTAATAATCCTTAGCACTTGCATAGTTCCTACACATATTTGTTGGGGGGAGGGCTGTGGCTTAGTGGTATAGCATCTTCTTGGCATGCACAAGGTCCCAGGTTCAATCCCCAGTAGCTCCAGTTACAAGGATCAGACAGCAGGTGATAGGAAAGACCTCAGCCTGAGACCCTGGAAAGCTGCTGCTGGTGTGAGTGGACAATCCATGTTCATGAAGTTCATGAAGTTCACAGGCATTATCTTGTAATCCTTATTTCTCTTGTATTGCAGATAAGTAGGGGACTGGCTCTCAGTGATTAGAGTGTGTAGTGGCAAATGCAAGATTTAAATCATGGGCTTCCTAAGGCGTGGATAAAACCCTGAGCCACTGGGCTGTAACAGCTCAGAAACAAAGGGGGTGGGGCTACTGGTTGTGGGCACTGCCCGCAAGAATTCTAAATGGATCGTTTTTATATGGACCCAGGAATCCTACAATCGTTGTTGTTGTTGTTGTTATTTTATTATTTAATTTTTATATTATTTATTTAATTTATATATACAATGATCTGTTCTAACACTGTCTCTCTGTGTGTGTAGTAATGCTATCAAGTCACGTTCAACTTGCGGCAACCCCTCATGGGGTTTCCAAGGCCAGAGATTAACAGAGGTGGTTTGCCATTGCCTTCTAATGCTATAGCAATCCTGGTCTTCCTTGGTAGTCTCCCATCCAAGTACCAACCAGGACCAATCCTGCTTAGCAGCTGAAATCTGGCAAGATTGGGCTAGCCTGGGCCATTCAGGTCAGAGTGCTCTAACAGTAGATTGGAGTAATTTGCATTTTACTCTCTCTGTGCATCCTATACTAAGCATTTGGTATATGTCTCACAGGCAAAGCCAATAATTAAAGGAGCAACTTCGGAGCCAGAGAAGTAACGTCCCTGTAACGAAGCTGCCATAGTCTGTTTTACAAGATTTTGGTCAACTGGCATCTCAAGTCTAGCAAATTATCATGACCCGCAAATAGACTGGGGTCTTGCAAAGCTTGCTGAATAACCTGAGCTGTCTTGCAGACTCATCTCCCTTGAACTGCGAGGGAAACAGAAAAGGCCAGCACAAGAGGCGAAACAGGGAGACTGGAAAGGCAGGTGAGAGATAGCATTTGAACTTGTGTGTCTCCCATCTTGTAGAAATCCCAGAGGAGAAGCAGGGCTGATTTCCTTCTAAGAGGAGAAGAAGAAAAAGAAGAGAGAGGAGATTGGATTTATACTCCGCCCTTCACTCGGAGTTTCAGAGCAGTTTACCCCACAACAGACACCCTGTGAGCAGTGTTCCCTCTAAGCTGAGTTAGTGTGAGCTAGCTCACAGCTTTTTAGCCTCCAGCTCACACATTTTTCTCTTAGCTCAGAAAGGATGTCTCCGGAGCAGACTAGTTTATGCAGTAGCTAAATCGCTCGCTCACAACTTTAACGCCAGTAGCTCACTAAGTAGAATTTTTGCTCACAAGACTCCACAGCTTAGAGGGAACATTGCCTGTGAGGTAGGTGGGGCTGAGAGAGCTCTTTCGAGGACCACTCTTGAGAGTACAGCTCTGAGAGAACTTGTGACTGACCCAAGGTAACACAAGCAGCTGTGTGTGGAACAGTGGAGAATCAAACCTGGTTCTCCCATATTAGAGTCTGTGCTCTTAACTACTACACCAAACTGGCTCACAAGGAGGGGCCCTGTGGATGTCTAAATCTGTATTGTGTCCAGTGAATTTCAGGATTACTGAGGATTAGCCTCGGAGATCGTATGCATTTTTCTGTGCCCTGTGGCAACAGTACCCAAGCATGCATCCTCTCTGGAATACCAAGGAAAACCCAGGATCAAGATATGACAGGAGGCAAGCACTGGGGTGGGGGGAGGGGCAAAGGGACCACAGTTTTGCGCTGTTACTGCATGCTGACTTGGGAGATGTGACACAGGAGAGAGATGCCCTTGCTTGGCATGGTCAGGCTAAGATTCTTTTGGTAGCCAAAGCAGAAAACCCTAGTAGCAGCAGCCCTGGTGAATGAACACGGGCTCTCCATATCAATAAAAACACATAAAATCGAGATTTTGCCTAAAAGTATTTCGGACCATAACCCACTGTTGTGGAGCTTAAAGGAAAAAAATAAGCAATTTTTATGGAGAATAAATGAAGATTTGTTGGACAAGAAATCTATTGTAGAGTTACTGAAGGTAGAAACAAAATTCTTTTTTCAACAAAATTTGAATCAGGAAACTCCTATACAGGTGGTCTGGGACACATATAAAGCGGTGATGAGAGGAATTCTCATCTCGCAAAATGCAAGGCAAAAAAGAGAAAATTTTTAAAAGCAAAAGGAAGTGTTGGACAAAATAACACAAAAGGAGGCGGAACTTAAGAAGAGACCTGGAAAAAAGACAATTATCAGAGAACTACAATTATTGAGAGAACAATTGAATGTGACTTTGAACCAAGAATTATATTGGAATTTGAAAAAACTTCAGCAGAAGTCTTTCAAAGGGGCAAATAAACCGGGGAAGTACTTGGCTTGGCAATTGAAAAACAGAAAAGAAAGAAGGCTAATTTCTAAAACTGTGGAACAAGGAAAATAATTCGTTGACCCTAATGGAATAAAAAGAAGCTTCTTTAAATACTATGCAAAACTCTTCCAAAAGACAAAAGTTGATTCGGAAAAGATTAAGAAATATTTGGACACTATATTGATACCAAAGATACAAAGCGAAGTCAAGGATGTATTGAATGGTCGTATTCAAAAAGAAGAATTGATTAAAGCAATAGAGGAAACAAAACTGGGTAAAGCACCAGGTCCGGACGGATTTACTGCAAAGTTTTATAAAACACTGAAAGAAGAATTAGTTCCGGTCCTGGAAACGTTATCCAATGAAATACGAGACACCAAGAGAGTACCTGAGACGTGGAAAGAAGCAATTATATCGCTGATACCGAAAGAAGGACAAGACCGAACTAATGTTAGGAACTACAGACCGATTTCGCTTTTGAATAATGATTACAAGATTTTTGCCAAAGTTATAGCAGAAAGGGTGAAAAACCATCTGAAAGAGGTAATATCTGAAGATCAAGTGGGCTTCTTACCCAAAAGACAAATAAGAGATAACTTAAGAATAGTAATGGATGCAATAGAATATTATGAAAAACACCCAGAAAAAGAAGTGGCCTTTTTGTTTGTGGATGCGGAAAAAGCATTCGACAATTTAAATTGGGACTTTATGCTTCAATTGATGGATAAAATCGAAGTTGGGCAACATTTTAGCAACATTATTGAAGCGATCTATTCAGAACAAAAAGCAAAATTGAATGTAAACAAAGAATTAGCAGATCACTTTCAAGTACAAAAAGGGACCAGACAAGGTTGCCCACTCTCACCATTGTTATTCATCCGGGTCTTGGAAGTATTACTGAAGAAAATTCAGGAAGATGGAGAAATTAAAGGATTGAACCATAAAGGCTACAAATACAAATACAGAGCATTCGCAGACGATGTGATGTTTATAGTGGAAAATCCGACTGAAGAGTTACCGTTGTTATTCCAAAAAATAAATGACTTTGGCAAAAAGGCAGGGTTTTATGTGAATAAAAATAAAACCAAGTTATTATGTAAAAATATGATTAAAAAGAAACAATTGGAACTGCAAGAACTGGTGCAATGCGAGGTTGTGAAAAAGACAAAATATTTGGGCATTGAGTTAACTGCGAAAAATATGGATCTTTACAAGAATAATTATGAGAAACTGTGGAATACGTTAACTCAAGATTTCAAGAAATGGGATAAATTGAATTTATTCCTGATGGGCAGGATTTCTGTAGTGAAAATGAATGTCCTACCACGACTGATGTTTTTATTCCAAACTATTCCAATACTGA